GAGGTGGAGAACTAGAAAAAGGTGAGAAGAAACAGTGAGTGGAAAAGGGCCTAGCATTTTGCTAAGGGACAGGGAGAGTAATGTAACAGACACATTTGGAGAAAGACTGATAATGTGCTAGAATGAAAAAAAAAATATTTGCAGTAGAACAAGGAACTGAAGTATGAAATTTTGATTTGATGGACAAAAGGAACAAAATTTGCACTAGAGGAGAATGTGCAGTTAAGGAAAAATTGACTGAAAGAGTGGAGTAGGACGGGAAAACTTTGAAGACAGACAAAGTGCAAAGGGTTTCTTGGAATGCAAACAGATGTTTGGGAAAAAAAAAAAAAAGATTGACCTGCGAATTCATAAGAACTGAAGAGGGTGAGAGGACTGTTAGCAGAAAATGATGGAGCTGGTTTCAGAAGCAGCTGGAATGATGTCATGTAGAAGTTGGAAATTAATCGGAATAAAGTAGAAAAGGTACAGGCTGAGGCAATTGCTAGAAAACAGGTAAGGAATTAAGAAGACAAATAAAATAGCAGCCAGAGAGAGAGAAAACTTGGTTAAGCTTCCTGTTGTTATCAGGATAGCTTTGGGAGAAAAGCACTAAACAATTTGGGAGCTATTTGGGAAAAGGAATGCATGACAGGGACACTATATGAAAAAGAATGGTCAATGGGGAAGACACTGCAGAAGTAGAACATTTTTAGAGGAGTTTAGATAATGCATAAAGGGAGTGGTGTTTAAATGGAATGAAGTTGAATGTACAAGACTTGGGAGGGAAACTACTGGGAGACAGAAAATTTGGAATGTGGGCTTTATAGAGGAAAAGAAAAATTAATAACGTAGGCAGCAAATACATGGTAAGTAACCAGATGGGGAAGAAAAAGTCAATGGAAATAAGATAGTAAGAGCTTCAGTATATGTCATTGTTCTAGTGCTTAGTAAGAGGTCTGGTAACAAAACAGTATATAAAAGTCAAACATTATCTTTGTATGGTACCTTTTTGTGTGGGATGAGGGGGTCTTGGGAAACCGGATTGGGAGCTAGGCATAGGCATCTAGTGAACCTACAATATGTATGGAGAAGAGGATAATCTGCTTTATTATTATTTTAAACAGAATCAAGAAAGAAAACATTTAAAACCAGTGTCTACACCAGTTCCTAATAACTTAGTATCTGTTTGTATCTGTTAAAAACCATGTAAGTATACCTGAAACCCATAATTGGGTTATTTATTATGATTATTTCTTGGCATTTTATGGATATTTCAGCAAACTGTTATCTACCCAGTATTTTAAAAAACCCAAACCCAACCCTAAAATATCCTGTATTGCTTCTTTTAGTAGTCTCATATTCAAATTTCTTTTTATTACTTCTTCCATTTTACATGACTTTACATCAACTAAAAGTCAATCTGAATGACTGCTACATGATGAAAAATACAACACAACATACCCCCCTTATTGACAAATGCAATTATCTTTTATGCTTAAATTAGTCCAATTCCCTACTCTCAAAAGTGATAAATTACCGACATTAAATACAACTCCAAGATGACAAGTATCCTTTTATTTATAATAAACATTAGATAAAAATCTTTATTTTAAATTATGATTTCCTTGCATAGTATTTTCTTAAATGCTGAAATTACACTCGGTATTTCAATTATTTCACTTCCCCACAGAACGCTGCAGCTTTCCTACCTTTGTTTGCTTAGTTATAGAACTGCTTAGCATGCTTAATACAGTAAGCTGAAAAAAAATTAATGACTGTGGATAAAAAGACTATTACACCAGACATGCTTTGATACCGAGATACAGATATATTTTTGAGAGGAATAAGAAAGGCATAAGTATTTCCCTAGCAAGTATTTTTTCCCAGAACCTGAAACATTAAAGAAATAGTATTATATTATTTATTATGGAATATATTGTATATTCTATATAATAATTCTTCTATAGTGCATATTAGAGTATAGAAAATACCATTTACAGGTAAAATGTAAGGACATAATTGCAATTTAACAAAATTGGAAAGACATGGTCTTTGCTGCCCCAATAAGAATTCAAAAAAGCGTTGGAAAAATTACAGTTTCACCCATTGGAAAGCTTTTGTAGAGTTCTGCAGCTAACTTCTCCGAGGAGCCCATCTGTACTGAGCACGTTTTATCCCAGTGCTTCAGGAATGAAGCAGTTCTTTCCCTGCAACTCTCTCTCCTCATTCCTGCAAACAATTACCATACTAAATATTGAGATAAGAGCAGAGAAATTGTCTTTGCTTTACTCTCAGTGCTTCTCTCCTTGATATCCAGACAGATGCAGAAGAAGAAACAGAATGTGTACTGAAAGCTGTAGGGAACATGAGCTGGATGGGGAGGCAGGGGGAAGCAGAGAATACAGACAAAGATGTGGTCCTAAACAGAAAAGGTTGGTAACAGGAATGTCAATGCAGTCAATGGACTCTCGAATTGGCTGGACAAGAGGAAGAGGCAACATGAAGGGCCAGACAGAGACAGGTGGCTGGGGGTCACTGAGAAAGAAATAATCAGGGTAGCAGGAAACCGAGTTCAGAAGAGAATGCTCAAAGAATGTGAAGTTAGGAAAAAAGAAGCACAGTGTAATGTTGAAAGAGTGAAATTAGCCATCGAGAAAAGCTGGAATTGGAGTTAGGAGGAAGAAACTAGGAGGAACTGGGACGGAGACACGGGGATATGGGCTAAAGGGGACATAGAGAAAACGGAGTTTATAGTGAAAGGGAATCCTCCTTCAAATATTGGGAGTGAACACAAAGAGCCCTGGCACTTGACATTACTTGCCTGCTATTAACTATTTCTTGAACTATTTCTGAAACCTGTCACCCTATAATATCTGATCCATAATGACAACAAGCTCTTACAGTTACATTTGTGTTGTAGGGTTACATACTGTGGCAGATCTAAAAGCTCTGAACTGTTGTATGATATTTAAGCTGAATATATTAGACTATAAGAAATTACAACTCTATTTCTTGCTTCTTTTTGCCTTTTCCTTAAAATAATCCTGTTTTAATTATATGTTGACACTGCAAAGTAGAGACAGGAAATGTCAGAATTAAGGTTGCCTTTGAAACATGATCCAATATCACAATCAGAACATATCATGGTTCAGACTTCAGTTAAATAATCATCTGTGGATTTTTTTTTAACTTGCACCACCTCGGACAGGTGAATCGAGGAAATTTTATCATTACTGAGAATGTTGCCTGTAAGACCTTGATTTCATTTGTGGCAGAAATAGAAATATAGGAAATGAGCATAAGTAGGCAGAGGATAGCTGGAAAAGAATGGATAATCATGGTTAAAAAGCTGAAGTGCTGTTCCTGTGTAGTTTGCGATAAGTCCTTTAGAATACATACTTCCAAAATACTCAGTAATTATGTGTTACTCGTAATATAAATATCCAGCTTGGTATCTTAGCCCATAAGCAAAACTGAATTCAACAGGAACAATGATTTGAATACTGAATATTTCCAAAAAAGGTTAAGTATCCTGAAAAATGAGGTCCTCAATATTTGAAAGTGAAGCAATTTGCCATATTTTTCTGTCTGTGACTCTATTTCCCAGCTTTCAAA